ATGGAAGTCTGCTCCTCCGCCTGGCAACATGAGCATCTTGTGAGGCAGGTCTGGCCGAAGGGCACCTCTCTGCAAGGGAGTACTCCAACGCTGACAGGAGCGTGGGCTAAACACAGTTCTACTACCGTTTCAAGCGTTCAGACTCACAGTTGTTATTTTAACTCTTCATTTTATACAACCCCTAGCATACTTAGGAAATTGGTTTATGCTGGTAGAATCCCTGCTGGGAGAACTGACTCCATTTTCCTGCAAATATAACTGCATGAGTAGCACAATTTCATGCCAACAACAGCAAGTGAAATTTTTCTGACAAAGAAAATGTTCCATGAAGAATTTCATCACAATCACAATATTTTGTGAAAAGATACTGGCTTTAACTAATTCTGCAAATCTTTTTGCAAGAACTTTTCATACAGGGAGAAGGCAGACCAGAAGAAAAAGTTCTTTCCATCTCACTTGCCATGGTGCCACAGCTTCAGGTTGAAAAAAATATTTTGGTATAGCGAACAACACAATAAATGGAGCACATCAGTAAATATGATCATATTCTTTCTCATATACTCTTTCTTCAGACTACCCTTCCATCCATTAACATTCCTATATGATGGAACTGCTACCGTCTATGGTGATACACAATGTAAGCAGCAGTCTTCTGTTAGGATCTTTGCTCAGGTGTTGGGATAAGCGGAGTGATTCTGCTTCACTGTCAAAATCGTGTCAGGCCAGAATTGCAGGTCTTGTATCCCTGGCCCTCCCTATGGCTGGCTAAAGTTGTAAAGCAGGACCTATATATTTATTTTACTTCACAGTGCTTCACTTCCTCCGACTTTTCAAAGATAAAAGAGTGGAGTCTGAAAGCAACATGGGTCATGCTCAGCAGCTGAGTCTCAGAAAGGAAAAGAAAGGGTATTTTTCTAATGCTGCACTAATGCTCTATTCCCCAGCAGGCAGCCAACAAACCCCAGCTCAGAAGCAGCTGTCTTCTACAAAACACTTCATGGAGGAGAAGGGGCTTACAGCTAAAGTAGAGATTATCTAGTAGCAGGTGGCCTAATACACTAAGTTGGGACTGATGATCTTAGAGGTCCTTTCCAATCTTAATGATTCCTAGTTTTTACTTTCATTATAAATAATCCAGCCACCAAGCCAGGAAACGTGAAATTGCTACTATACCCTTAACTGGTTTAGTGGTGGACTTGGTAGTGTTAGGTTAATGGTTGGACTGGATGATCTTAAAGGTCTTTTCCAACCTAAACAATTCTATGATTCTATGACTTGCTGTTTGGAAGGCCATTGTGCTGTTGAACTTTCTTTCCCCCATCTCATGGCAATCCTGTGGAGATACTAGGAGGAGTCTGTATGAGAGTCACTTTATCAAAGGCAGGGAGGTCCATCAGAAGAATATTTCTCTGGGACATAACAAATCAGTCAAGGCACAGGAGGTAGGGATTAAAAGGGCAGGGAGGCAGACTGTAAAGCTGCGTCAGCCAGTTCAGCAGCACTTGCTGAGTCGCATGGAGATGTTTCCTCCCTGGAGCCTGAGCACCAGAACAATCATGCCCAGGGAACAGCAAGCATGCCTTTCTCCAAAGCCTTGCTCACCTGTTTGAAATGGATGCTAGCTAAAGCTCCTCACTTGAGGTTAAGGTCACTTCTCCTGGATTTGCAGAAGTGCAACAGGTAAGCCTGTGCTTCCACACTTTGTACACCTTCATCAGCAATTGCCAACACCTTCCCACAAGCCCTGCTAAGCAGTCATCTTGTGGGGACAGGCTGAGATCAAAGCTGGTCTTTGACTTTTTACCCACTACTGATTTTGGGCTGATCCCAAAACACTGTTGATATTATGTTCATACATCATCACAGTGACCACAAAAAGAGGCAGCTTATCTAGGAGAAACAGAAACAAGCCCTGGATCTATGACAGAGCAGAAGTTTGTAACACCAATGATTTCCACAGTGCCAATGAAATCTATCATTAGGCAGACCTGCAAGACTGTAGCACAAAGAGCACTGCAGCCATCTTAGTGTATGCCTCTGACCTCAGCATGGATAGGAAGGCTAATCATGAGACATCTTCTTTGTGACTGGTTTAGTTTTCAGAGGTTTAATAGCTGTCACTTGCCTGAAGCAGAACGGCCTCATCCATGGATATGGGGAGTGAACAGGGAAAAAGGTGGTGGTGACATATCTGTGCAGCACTCTCAGAGCAAAAGAGACAGCTCCACTTCACATGCCCAGACAAACTGAGCCAGTAAAAGGGTCATCTGATGGCTGGTATATGAAATGATGAGTAGAAAAATGGTTACATAAATGCTATGGCTCACAGGTATAGAGAAGAGAGACTGGCAGAAGCACTTGAAAAATGAAAACCTTCCAAAACTATGACTATATACATTCCACAAGCAGGTGTGAACAGCTACATTGAATATGAAATATCTTGGAGATTATGCACTTTGTCGAACAAGTTGCCAAGGCCTGGCACTGTCCTCTCTACGGGATTTGCTGCAAAGGACAATGAATTACATCTCAAAAAGATGTTGCATAGTTGTAACTTCCAGTGTGTCCCTTCACCTTGGTGTTGTGGAGAGTGGACAGAATGAGCTCTGTTGCCAGCAGTTGGGATGATCTGCAATTATCTGAACTAATCCTGCTCAGCATACTGAACAATCAGCAATCTGCATGCCTCACTATCTTAGTATGTTACCAGACCCGGCGAGGATGAGTAGAGAGTAGCAACCCAAGCATCCTATATTCAGCGGCTCTCACAAGACTGGATAGCAGCCTCTTATCCCTTGCCCATGAAAATACCAATTGGCATCCTACAATACCTGGATGAGGTCACAGACATGGTAGCAAAGAGGATGCAAAAATCAGTAATTCTCTCTCTTGTCCTTCTGGATGTACACGAAGGAAGAGACTCTTCCATCAGCAAATAACCATCCCTGGTGAACTCTAGTGCGAGGCAGTGGGTGTAGTCCCCTGGGAAATTGTTATTTAAACTACCACAAAAAGGAATATTTCTTGATGGCAATATATGTAGCTATTTCAAAACTGCCGTGGTTTCATTTCTCTCAGATAACACACGGACAAGGTTAGTTTTATTGAAAAATTTAAGTGATATGCCAAGATATCATAATGGTAGTCATTAACTTGGACCCTCTTCATTATTGGCAGCTGAAATGACGTATGTGATCGGTATTACATGACAGACAACAGACAGCTGTTCATCATCTCCTATCCACTCTTCAGGTTACACTGGAAGCTTCTTTAGCACAGCAGTTTAGTCAACAAGAAGGAAACACCCACTCCTTCCTAAAGACGGCACGGAAACCATCTTCATGAATAGCATTTCCTCCAAATTTGATTTGAGTGTCTGCATTCAATTACACTCACTTGAAGAACAACGTCACCACTGCCAATCTTCCCAATGTCCTTTGGAGTAGTCTGTTCCACCTCCAGCTTGCAGAGTTGTTCCCAGCCTACTTGCTGGGACAACACTGAAACTGTGTCCTCTGCACAACAGAAAGTCTTCAGGATTCTTCCCATCCACAAGAATCAATCCTGGAAACTGTCCTTTCCAGTCTCAGGATCCCTCCCACATCCCCATGAAACAAACATATCACCTGCAGAAAATCTCCAGGAGTATCACAAAATCATCTATACCAGCCCCAATACATAACAGCACATACAAGGAATCATATATTGAATACACCCAGGGATGTTCTTACTGACTTTTTTTAAGTTGAGGAATCTCCAGCTGAGCTAGACAACAGTAAGTAGAAGCAAGAGGACATCCTTGCTGTAGTCATAAGTTTACAGTCTCATTTTCAACGAGGCACAGCAAGTGAGTGAGTGAGTGAGAAAGTAATGAGGAAGGACAAGGATAATGACAATAGTTCACAGTGGCATTGATTCGCTACACAGGAAACTGATGACTCAGAAAGGTTCCTCTTTAATTTCTATATAGCAGCCACCCCAAAATCATTGCTCACACTGGCCATCATTAATTTGTTGATTTCTTGAAGACATTCCAATAGGAGCAGTAGATCTTAAAAGAGTGGGCAGTGGTTTTATGGACTTGTTCCTCCACAGCACTCTGCAAGTAAAAGGCAATGAGGAAGCAACTGTGCAGATAATAGTGATATACTGTACTTTCAAGGCAGGAGTGAAGGGAAAGGGGCATACATGTACAACCTAATGAGATGAGATGAGATGAGATGAGATGAGATGAGATGAGATGAGATGAGATGAGATGAGATGAGATGAGATGAGATGAGATGATCAACTCTTTCTGAAGTCAGTGGGAATCTTTCTATTAACTTCAATGAGAGTTCAATCAAGCCCTAAAGGACAAAAGTAGAGCAGGTTATTAAGGCAGACTGTGAAAGTGCAAACAGGTTTTGAAGTATTCCAGAGGTGTTAATATTAAAAAGTATGGCCAATGCGATACATTTCTGCAAAGTGAGGCAGCATATGTATGCTCTGACTAGAGTATGTTTCCCACAAGTATTCCAGAGGTGTTAATATTAAAAAGTATGGCCAATGCAATACATTTCTGCAAAGTGAGGCAGCATATGTACGCTCTGACTAGAGTATGTTTCCCACGTATGAAAAGTGCCCTGGTCCCAGGCACATTTTTAGATCATTATATCATGGGAGCAGCATACAACATGTTACGTTCTGATAGGCTGCAAACAATCAGGGCAAAGAAACACATACCTTTATACCACTAGAAAGTTGGGATACTTAGATTTCCACTGATCGTGCACCACTCATTTCTAGTCCTGCTGGTTGCTAAGCTGTATGTGACTATTATCTTTTAGTGACTTATAAAAGAGAAAAAAAGGAAAACACAGGCTCACACAGGTTTGACTCTTTCCTCTCTCCAGTTAACTTTCTATCAGAGGGAAATCTCTATACCCTTCTAATTTTACAAGAAGGGGGCAGTTTTCCCTCTACAGCCCATGTGTTGAGGGGATGCATGGATCCTTCTTTTCCCTTCTATATAATCATTCTATTCCAGTCTCCGCATTTCTTCCCTCACTCTCTTCAATTCCAGTTCAAAACTTCCAGCTGATGTAGCATGAACTGCTAAGGAAATAGAGAAATATTTCATGAAATTTCCACGGCGGGATTCCTTTTTTAGGTGATAAAAACCCACAGATATCTAGCCTTAGCTGTCCTCGGGACAATAACTATTATGATCATGTAGGAACTGAGGAGGGAGAAAATAAGTAGTAAGCAGATTAATACACTTTTGAGGTCCAGCATCTGGTTATCTAATAGAGAGAAGAAATACTTTGATAGATCAATAAGGAAAGTTTTAAATGACAGTAAACATTTCTTAGCCCTGCTTCAGACTACAGATCAGAGTTAAAAATGCCAGAATTCTAAATACTTTGCATTTACTTAGTCATACTCATCAGATGCTTTGCTATAAAAATATTACATTTAACTTTCACCAATCAATAAAGTGAATTGCATTCATCAATGATTTGGTATGTGTTGCTAAATATAAAATACTTAGCACTTAGGTACACATTTCTATGTAAAAGCTTTTCATTATACTGTCTAACTTCTACGGTAATTATAAATCTTGCTTGTCGCTCATCCTTTATTCCTCCTCCCTCCCTTCCCAACTCTCCTTTTTTTGTAATTCATTTCAAGTAGCTAAACCTGGGTGCAGAGCAACTAAACAATTATCTAGGATCAATTCCAAAGAAACAGTTGAGGAAAACACAAGTATGCTTTATGAGATTCCACTGGGAGGAAAGTTTATTTTTACCTGATTTGTTAGACACCCATATAATTGCCTCTGATGAGATGTGGCTCGTATTTCCTACTGCAATTGTTAATGGAATCTGCCACAAGTAGCTGCAAGACAAAGGAGGGGGAATCTAAGAACAAAAATACTGAACTGATTCTTCTCACAGCAGTCAGGGATCATGTCAAAGAAATCAAAACACAATTTCAGTAGCAGTGTAAAGATGTGGATTCTAACAAGTTACTTTGATTTTGAAATGCATTTGCTATTAGCAATAAAACAATGAAAAAGTCATTCATCTTAAAACCCCCTAAATTATATTTTACATTTTTCACACACTATCATCATATGAGGACTTTTTTGCAAGGGTTTCCTAATTTAACAAAATTATTCACAAAAGAGGAAATAAAGATTTCCCATAGAAAGAAGAACACTTTTTTACATTTACTTAGAAAAAGAGAACCTCCAGGTAAAACATGCTATGATTTATAGGGACTCCAAAGTTGAAAAATAACATACTCTTCTAGCAACTTCTTAAAAAGCTATGATGGGCTTTCATAGCCGCTAGCTTATAAAAACAAAACGAATGGGATGGATCTCCACTTCTTTCCACCATTTATTATCACTTACGTGTATGCAAACTGGACAAAATATACTACATGTGGATTTAGGGATATGATGGTGTAATCAGACCCCGACTTCCTTATAGGGTATCACAAAATGTTTCTCATTTGGAATAAATGTTATCATTTACCTAAGACATTTATATAACATCTTTATCTCAATAAACAGAAACTGACTATATGAAGTCAATCTTTTGGGGGAGAAATGGAAAAGATTAATTCCTGCATGTCTTCATCATCACCTCTGTTCCTGAGCTCTCAAAAGTATCATTTCACCAGTCAGTGAAAGAACAGACATTTCCCTCACAGGCCCGCCATGTCATTTTGTACACCAGTCTAGAGGAAGCACTCAGTAATGGTACAGATGGGACCTTTGTCTAGGGAGAATGTGTGCATTTAAGCAAGGCAGCGTGGCAAGAGAATGGCGCCAACTCAGGTATCACCGTACGCCTCCACTTTGATGCCAAGTAAGTCATTGAATTAAAATGGTGCAAGGACAAGTGTGGGCAAATGCTTGATGTCTACATCAGCTTCTCTCCTGCTAGTACACAGCATTGCAAAACAAGCCTATGGTACTAAAAAAAATTAGGTTTTCTCCTTTCCGAATACCCAGAAGCCTGCGCCACTGAACTCCAAACACCACCCAAATGTGCCACAACCGCAGTTAACACGTGCTGGCTTGCGAGGCCTGCCTTGCTGGCCTTGCTTGGGGGCTGGGGCAGGGAGAGACCCCTGCCCTGCCAGCCCTGCTGCCACGCTCAGCTCCCGGCTCCCCCCCCTTCGCGAAGAGTCCCCCGCACGCACGGGGGTTTGCAGCGCTCAGAACAGAACTGCATATGCTGGGAAACACTTGTCCATACAGCAGTGATTCAGCAGAGAGGGGGAGATATTTGGAAAACTGTACAGCTGAAAGAGCTATGAGTGACACGAGAAAGAAAACATGGCATTTATTGCCATATGGGAGAAGAAAAAAGGTCCCATGTGATTTTGGGTTCTCTGAATGTTGGTATGATGATACACTGGGAAAATTATTAGATCTACTCATGCACCAAAGACATGCTCCACATGAGCACATGCTCTGGCAGACACTTTTTGGATAATTAAGCTGTGGCATTTGAAGATGCTACTGCCTTTATCAGTCTTCCCACTCCTGCTGGACGTTACCAGCCTCGATAGCACAGCCAGCAGAAGAGGATATCTAATGGTGCATTAGCTTCTCCAGTTCTCAGTCTGGGGTCTTCACATAAAGTTACCTTCATTGTTGGCTTAATTAATATTCTGAACTGTGAACTGGAGTAATGAGGTGAAAACCTGTATTGTGTCCTGCTGCTTCTGCTACAGTGGCAGTAACTTCTGTGTTCGACAGGTGAGGGCAGTCAGGAGATGCTGCAAAGTGATGCACCGGAGAATATTCACTACTCTCTTAATACCTTATACCTTACTAGACACCTACCAGTGTTTTAGAATCTGTCCAAAAAACCTTCTAAGAAATATATCATCTTTAAAAACACACCCAGTTCTAAATACTCGACTCTCCAGAATGAAAAAGATGCTGGCAAACTGTGATCAAGAGAAATGAGGCAAAATTAAGCATAAAGCTCGTACATTATTTGAAAGAACAGGAACTTTGGCATATGAAAAAAAATGAAAGAACTGCATTTGCATGGTATTTTTATGACTCTGGAGATCAACTCCTACTGAAAAAGTTAAACTGCAAAATAAAAGATACTGAGAGCTGCCTATGTAGCTTATTTAAACACATATATAAACATACACAAATGTAAGTGTATGAACATATACATGGACATCTGTTATTTTGCAAAGGAACTTCATAAAAAGATATTCTGTATACTGCAATATCTATACAGAGAAGACTTTTATATTACTCTATATTGTTATTTTGTTACCTCCAATTAAGGTAAATCCTACTGAAATAAGGACAGATCCTTCTCTGAAAGGTGATCTAGCTGTGGAACAGAAGTCATGTAAGCTACCCATCCTCAGAAAACACATGTGGATTTAGTTGGGAAGATTAGTACTGGTAGATTTAACTTTTCTCTCCCCAAGATGAGAGACCTACTGATGTTCTCGCACTCTCCAGAACCTCCAAATCTCATCCTCTTGGTTATTGGTTTACCAGGTGAGCCACAGATTTCCTTTTAATAGACCTCTCCAGAAACCCAGTTTTCCTGCTTGTACTCCTGCTGTTCTCTGGATGTGTATCTGCTTTCCCCTTCCAGTCCTCTTCATTCTCTGTGAAACTTCTGCCGCTGTTGCAGAAGCAGCCATGGCTAACTTTATGTGTATGTGAGGGAGATGGGGTTGGGGTTTTTTTGGTAGCACCACATCAATGCATAATACCGGTGTGTTAGCATCTCCTTTCAGCTTAAAGAATAACCAGAGGGACTTGTTTCATAAAGTAATGCAATCTTGCACCTGCCAAGGTACATGAAATACCAGAAGCTAGCTAATTATGCTCTGATTGGATTATATATTCTTCTCCCAAGTAACTAGTGATAGGATGAGAAGAAATGGCCTCAAGTTGCACCAGGGCAGGTTTAGATTGGATATTAGGAAAAATTTCTTTACTGAAAGAGTGGCCAAGCATTGGAACAGGCTGCCCAGAGAGGTGGTGGAGTCACCATCCTTGGAAGTGTTAAAAAAACGGGTTGACATGGCACTTTGGGACATGGTTTGGTGGGCATGGTGGTGTTGGGTTGATGGTTGGACTGATGATCTTAGAGGTCCTTTCCAACCTTAATGATTCCTAGTTTTACTTTCATTAAAAATAATCCAGCCACCAAGCCAGGAAACATGAAATTAATTATTACTCTACCCTTAACTGGTTTAGTGGTGGACTTGGTAGTGTAGGTTAATGGTTGGACTGGATGGTCTTAAAAGGTCTTTTCCAACCTAAACAATTCTATGATTCTCTATGATTCTATATAGATTTTTTTTTGCCTTGAGCATTATGTAATGACTACATAGTCAGTACTAGTGTACTTTATCTCACTCAGAAAATTATTATATTTGTGATGAGTACTTGCTTATGTCTTGACTTCCAACAAATAAGAACTGAGATCCCTTCATGGGCAAATCCTGAGACCATAAACTATTAAGCAAACATGATGCCTTACACTTCTGCCTCTAATGAACAGTAATGTTGCAGTAACTAACATTGGATTTTCAGTGGAACAATTAGTTGGCTTCTTTGTAACAAATTATGCAAAGCCAAAAAAGGGCAGTAGATTATTTCCTCTGCTGACAAAACAAAGATGTCAGGTCATTAAAAAAGAAAAAGCAAGGTTCCTGGAGTTTCAGATTTTGCACACCTTTTCAACTACTTTTTCACATTAATGAACATTTTCACTGAGATGTAAACCCATACGTTTTCAAGATTCATCCTCCCAGTAACCATAATGTGCCAAGCTTCCACCCACTGCCTCTAGTGAATACCATGTTCTTCCAGTGACATTTCTCCTTTCTCCCCAGACTCAAATCTAAACAAAGAAGTTCAGCTATTCCTAGTCATTACTCACAGAACAATGAAGATATCTGCTCAATATTCAGAAGCTTATTATCTTTGGCTGCATTGTAAAGAGTATACAAGTAATGTGATTGCTTCACGTAAAGTGACAGAACATCTGTACCTAAAATACCAACAGCAGAACTTAGCTAACCTTCTTTTTGAATAGGAGAGGACATGAACAACCACATCCCTCTCTATATCCTTTTGCTTTTACAGACCTCTGGGTTAAAGACTCCTAATCTATCCTGCTCTTCTTTATACAGAAATCTTAATCTTTCTTATTGTCCACCTCTATATTTTTTCTATTATACTCTTTTCCAGATGAGAAAGCCAGACCTGCCGTCTGTGCTTTGAAGACAGGTCTACCACAGATTAAGAGTGGCATAATTCTTTTCTCTTCTTTTTTACTTTTTATACACTCTTTTCCTACTAATCCGTACTGTTCTATTTACTTGCTTGACTATGTCTGCACACTGAGCTGATGTTTACAGAAAATTACTTACCATAACTTCAAGATCTCTTTCCTAAGAGAGAACAGTTTTTTCAGAACTCACCACTGAGCATCTAAGTTCATCATCACAGGACCATAGAATGCTTTTGGGTTGGAAGGGACCTTGAAAGATCATCTAGCCCACCCCCCTGCAGTTAGCAGGGATTGAACCCATGACCTTGGCATTATTAGCACCACGCTCTAACCAACTGAGCTAACTACCTATCATCTGTCTTCCCCACACGTATCACCTTTGCATTTATCAACATTAAGCTTCATTGGTCATTTTATCACCATGTCAACCAGCATTAAGCGATACTTCTGTAATCTCAGTAATTAACTTTTGGTTTTACTACCCTCACAAACCTCCTATTACCAGAAAACTCTGTCACCTCACTCTTCCATGCCCTTTATCACATCACTGAATAGGAAAAACTTCACTACAGGTTTCTCAAAAATATAATGGGT